AAGTTAATGCAAACGACATGCTCCTGTTAACAGAGTGAGCTCAGTAGTGTATTCATAACAAACACCCTCTTCCAGCAAAAGGGCAAATACAAAACCATACAGAGACATCCTAGATCAAAGCACTGGCTTATGTCATTGTTTAGCTCAAGGATCTAAGTGATGCCTGCCTCACTCGAGCAATGAGGGGAGCTGGTACAGATTATAGACTTGTTCAATCTGTGATAAACATTTATCATTTTGTTCCATTCATTCTGGGGATGTGGAGATTGCTGGCTGGTTCAGCATTCATTGCTCCTTCGAAGGTGGCAGTGAGTTGATTTCTGAATTGCTGCAGACCATTTGGTGTAGGTAGATATACGATGTCATTAAACCACAGGGGTGCACGCACGCAGTCACAGCCAGTGACGCTGCAGTAAGTTGCTGACATCAAAGGAAAGGAGCAATCAAGCTAGGGTTTTTTCACACTACAAATATTTGCATGACTCCTCACTGCTTCACACCCACGCACCATCTCTGGGCATAAAGCAGTGAGTGGGAAAGGGTCAGTAGGAAAGTTGGGAGGGGAGTGACTACAGTAGTAGCAAGCAGGTGATGAGGGGCACTGAACTGAGTGACAGCAGGAGAACTGGACTCTGAGCACAGTGAGCAGAATGAGGAAGGCAGGAGCTCTTTGGGAGTCAGTGCCACAGTGCACGGTCATATAATGCAATCATAGACTCATAGAGATATACAGCAAGGAAACAAACCCTTCGGTCAAACTCATCAACGCTGAGCAGATACACTAAATAAATCTAGTCCTATTTGCAGCATTTGGTCCATATCCATCTAAACCCCTCCTAGTCATATACCCATCCAGACGTCTTTTAAATGTTGTAATCGTACCAGCCTCCATTACTTCCTCTGGCAGCTCATTCCATAGACACACCACCACACCTGTGAAAACGTTGCCCCTTAAGTCCATTTTCAATCTTTCCCCTCTCACCTTAAACCTATGCCCTCCAGTTCGGGACCCCCCCACCACAGGGAAAAGACTTTGTCTGTTTACCCTGTCCATGCCCTTCATATAAACATCTGTAATGTCACCCCTCAGCCTCCGATGCTCCAGGGAAAATAACCCCAGCCTATTTAGCCTCTCCCTATTGCTCAAAACCTCCGATACTTGGCAATATCCTTGTAAATCTTTTCTGAACCCTTCAAGTTTCACAACATCCTTTCTATAGCATGCAGTATTCCGTAAGTGGCCTAAACAATGTCCTGTATAACTGCAACATGACCTCCCAACTCCTATACTCAATGCACTGACCAATAAAGGTAACCATATCAAACGCCTTCTTCACTATCCTATCTACCTGCGACTCCAGTGTCAGAGAAGTATGAACTTGTACTCCAAGGTCTCTTTGTTCAGCAATACTCCTTACGATCTTACCATTAGGTGTACAAGTCCTGCTCTGATTTGCCCTTCTAAACTGCAGTACCTCACATTTATCTAAATTAAACTCCATCTGCCACTCCTCAGCCCATTGGCCCATCTGATCAAGATTCCATTGTACCCTGAGGTAACCTTCAATGTCTACTACATCTCCAATTTTAGAGTCATCTGCAAATTTACTAACCATACCTATGTTCACATCATTTATATAAATGAAAAGTAGGGGACCCAGCATCGAGCCTTGTGGCACACCAGTGGTCACAGGCCTCCAAACCAAAAAGCAACTCTCCACCATCACCCTCTGTCTTCTACCTTCAAGCCGGTTCTGTATCCAAATGGCTCTGTATAATGGCTATCATGCGATCTAACCTTGCTAACCAGTCTACCATGAGGAACCTTATCAAACACCTTACTGAAGTCAACATAGATCAGGTCCACCGCTCTGCCCTCATCAATCCTTTTTGCTGCTTCTTAAAAATACTCAATCAAGTTAGTCAGACACAATTTCCCACACACAAAGCCATGTCGACTATCCCTAATCTGTCCTTGCCTTTCCAAATATATGTAAATCCTGTCCCTCAGGATTCCCTCCAACAAAATGCCCACCACTGATGTCAGGCTCACCAGTCTGTATATCCCTGGCTTTTCCTTACTACCTTTCTTGAATATTGGCAACAGGTTAGCCAACCTCCAGTCTTCCGGCACCTCACATGTGGCTATCAATGATACAAATATCTCAGCAATGGGTCCAGCAATCACTTCTCTAGCTTCCCACAGAGTTCTAGGGTACATCTGATCAAGTCCCAGAGATTTATCCATCTTTATGCATTTTAAGCCATCCAGCACCACCTCCTCTGTAGTATGGACATTTTTCCAAGATGTCGCCATTTATTTCCCCACGTTCCATACTTCTCAGTAAACACTGATGCAAAATACTTATTTAGTATCTTCCCATCTCCTGCGGTTCCACATATATGTGGCCTTGCTGATCTTTAAGGACAAAAGGATAACTAGGGAGAAAATAAGGCCCCTAAATGTATTTGTAGAATCCCTTTGGATTCTCCTTGACCCTATTGCCAAAGCTATCTCATGTCCCCTTTTCTCCCTCCTGATTCCCCTCTTAAGTATACTCTGACTGCTTTTATACTCTTCTAGGGATGCACTCGAGTTCTGCTGTCTATACCTGACATGTACTTCCTTCTTTTTCTGACCAAAACCTCAATTTCTCGAGTCATTCAGCATTCCCTACACCTACCAGCCTTGTCCTTCACCCTAACAGGAACATATCTGGACTCTTGTTATCTCATTTTTGAAGGCTTCCCATTTTCCAGCCATCCCTTTACCTGCAAACGTCCGCCCCCAATTAACTTTTGCAAGCACTCACCTAATACCATCAAAATTGGCCTTCCTCCAACTTAGAAATTTATCTTTTAAATCTGGTCTATCCTTTTCCATCACTATTTTAAAACTAATAGAATTATGGTCACTGGCATCAAGAAGTGCTCTCCCACTGACACCTCCGTCACCTGCTTTGCCTCATTTCCCAAGAGTAGGTCATGTTTTGTGCTTTCTCTAGAAGATACATCCACATGCTGAATCAGGAAATTTTCTTGTACACACTTAAATTCCTCTCCATCTAAGCCCTTAAAACTATGGCAATCCCAGTCTTATGTTTGGAAAGTTAAAATCCCCTACCATAAAAACCCTATTACTCTTACAGATAACAGATCTCCTTACAAATTTGTTTCTCAATTTTCTGCTGACTATTGGGAGGTCTACAGTACAATCTCAATAAAGGTGATCACCCATTTCTTATTTCTCAGCTCCAGTTAAATAAATTCCGTGGACGTATTCCAAGGAATATCCTCTCCCAAGTACAAATGTAAGGTTATTCCTAATCAAAAATGTCACTCCCCCTCCTCTCTTGACCTCCTTTAGATCCTACCTATAGGATCTATACCCTGGAACATTAAGCTGCCAATCCTGTGCATCCCTGAGCCACATCTCTGTAATTGCTATGAGATCCCAGGTCCATTTTTCCAACTATGCCCTCAGTTGATCTGCCTTACCTGTTAGGCCTCTTGCCTTGAAATATATGCAATTTCATTTACCAGTCCTGCCTTATTCTCTGCTTTGCTCCTGCCAACCCTGGTTGTTTGACTTGCTCTTTTCCCCAGCTGTACTGTCTCAGACTGATGTCTTTCCTCACTATCTCCCTGGGAAACACCCCCACCACCCCCAACTAGTTTAGATCCTTCTGAGCAGCTTTCGCAAATCTGACTGCCAGTATATTAGTCTCCTTCTAATTCAGGTGCAATCCGTTCTTCTGATACAGGTTACTTCTACCCTAGAAGAGATTCCAATGATCCAAAAATGTGAATACCTCTCCCCTGCATCAGGTCCTCAACCACACATTCATTTGCTCTATCCTCCTACTCCTATCTTCACTAGCTCATGGCACTGGGACTAATCAAGATATTACTACCCTCAATGGCCTCCTTTTCCAATTCCTGCCTAACTTCTTATATTCTGTCCTCAGAATCTCATCCCTTTCTCTTCCTATGTTGATTGTTCTAATGTGTACAACGACCACCTGCTGGTCCCTCTCCCCTTTGAGAATACTCTGCACCCTCTCCGAGGCATCCTTGATCCTGGCACTAGGGAGGCAACACACCATTCTGATGTCTTGCTGTCAGCTGCAGAAATTTTTGTCTGTCCCTCTGACTAGAAAGTCCCCCGTCAAAATCGACGGCTTGGAACCTGATGTACCACTCGTTACATGAGAGCCAGTCTCGGTACCAGAAACCTTACTGTCAGTGCTACATTCCCTGAGAGTCCATCACCCACTACATTTTCCAAAACAACATACTTGTTTGAGATGGGGATAGCCAGAGGAGACTCCTGCATGACCTGACTTGCTCTCCTACCTTTCCGGCGGTAACCCATCTACCTGACTGTATCTTCAGCTCATCTCACTTTCTGCAACTGCCATCCATCACACCCCCTAACTCATGTAAATTCATGAAACAGCATTGATTTCCAGCTCAGGTGCACACTGATGCGGTCACCAGGGCTAACTTCATCTGCTAGTGAATTGGCAGGAGATCCTCTGTGAATAATAAATTAAACTGTTTGGATGTTGGCTGAGGGTTAAATATTGGTGAGGGCATCATGAGAACTCCACTCATGCCTTTCTTTAAATAGTGCCATGGGACCTTTCACATCCACCTCACAGGGTAGATAGAACAAACTACAGTACAACAGTACACTGAAGGATAATATTGCCAATAGGGTAACACTCCGTTAGGCTGGATACCAACTGCTCAAAAGCAGTGAGACTTAAAAACCTATGAAATTCTGCCAAGAAGGAAAGTGTGATGTCATTGAAACAAGGCTGTCACTACCTTATAGGATGAATGTCAATGGTTTATGCTGAAACATTCTTGCAAAATTCCTGGCAGCATTATTAAAGAATCTGGCAATAAATTACTAAACATATACAATACCCTTTCAAACTATATTGGAAAAAAATTCTTGTAAAGGTTGGTGTAATACATACATAAGAACTTACCCATAGCTTTTGTTTCTTCCCTTTTTGCGTTCAACAAAGAGAATTTAAACTTAGCTCGAACTTCACTTTTTGGACAACTAACTAAAAGCAAATATAAGGAAAGGTAGTCTTTGCTTTCTTCATCTAAACCCTTTGGGTTTACTCTGAGGCACCTGTAACATACACATTTAATAAAAATGTTCCAGTTAAAAAGTTGCTGAAAAATACTGCACTTTATCCATTAAGAATGGAATTGATGATATCCGTTAACATTTCACAACACACATAATAATCCAGAAGACGCATGAAGTGAAGAAGTTCATATCAACATGACATACACTGAAAACAAAACTACAAACCATCTTTTTAAGATATTGGTAAAATATAAAAGTATATTAAGTTTTATTTTCCATAATGCCAGATAGTTTGCTGATTACAGAGGCAACTCCGAATTGGAGAACAGTGAGAGAGGATGTCTGCTATAACAATCCATGTCAGATGAACTATGCCATTAGCTCATTTGATCAGAGTGTGAAGTATGTTGTTTTCAGCAAATGAAGTGGACTGTGTCTTGATTTTTTTCCCTACATTTTTAAAGTTTCCTTATGATATAGACTTTGAAGAAAAATTAGGAGGCATACAAATCAAAGCCCTAATCAGTTGATTTGCCAGGTGAGTGTCAATTCCCATGTTTCAAGTTGATATTAAAGGAGCACTGCAGTGTAATGATTACAATACAAAGAGAGTGGACCCTGACATTGGCTCTGGAATAAATTAGGTCTCATGACTTAACAACAAATAAGAGAAATCGCCTGCTGATCACCGCCTGCCTAGTTATTCCTCAAACAGTAGATGAATGTCTGTCCTTTACACTGGTGGAAGCAACAGCTATACAGTCCAGCCCTGTTGGCTTACATGACATGACAGTAAGATGTGGTTGAGGACACTGGGGGCAGCCAAGTTATGGGGCCTGACAACATGCTGACAGTAGTATTGGAGATCTGAGCAAGAGTCTGCTGCTCCGTTTGACGTCTATCCAACATAGTGAAAAATTGCCATGCTTTACAATGTTAACAGTGCTATATGAATATAATTTGCATATTTAACTGATCATATTCAACACAAATATGAAAAGCATGAGTCATTATTTTTTGATCTTCAGTAAAGTGACCACCAACATATCCTGGGAGGGAATGGTGAATTCTGGTCATGATCGATCATAAACTGAAATAGACCAACCATAACAACACAGTGTCTACAACAAGGATAGGCCATTTAGGACTGAGACGCAGTGACATTTCTTCACCTAGAGTGTTGAGCCTGTGTATTTTTCTGCCACAAAAAGTGGTTGAGGCCAAAACATTGAATGTTTTCAAGGAGGAGTTAGATATAGTTCTTAAAGATAAAGGGATCAAATGGAATGGGGAGAAAGCAGGAGCAGACTACTAAATTAGATGATCAGCCATGGTCGTATTGAATGGTACAGCAGGCTTGAAGGGCTGAGTGGCCTACACTTACTCCTATTTTCTACATTTCTATGGAACTGCAGGAGGGAGAACAGCAACTCAAGGCAAGAGTATGGCACAACATGTTACTTGGATTAGCGCAACAACATAACTATGAAGAAAGTTAACACAGGACAAACCAAGATGAATTGCACCTGTGTCACAAGGTCGAGCATGCAGGTCCTCAACCATAATTATACTGAGTGGTTGTAGCATGTATAATTTTCACAATGTACTGCAGTGACTCAATAAAATTATCTTAGTGACATTACCCTTTCATGTGACTTCTACCAATGAGGATGACAAAAGAAGCAAGGTAATGGTGACAAAGAACAAAAGAAAATTACAGCACAGGAACAGGCCCTTCGGCCCTCCAAGCCTGCGTCGATCCAGATCCTCTATCTAAACCTGTCGCCTATTTTCCAAGGATCTGTATCCCTCTGCTCCCTGCCCATTCATGTATCTGTCTAGATACATCTTAAATGACACTATCGTACCCGCTTCTACCACCTATGCTGGCAACGCGTTCCAGGCACCCACCACCCTCTGCGTAAAGAACTTTCCACGCATATCTCCCTTAAACCTTTCCCCTCTCACCTTGAAATCGGGACCCCTAGTAATTGAGTCCCCCACTCTGGGAAAAAGCTTCTTGCTATCCACCCTGTCTATACCTCTCATGATTTTGTAGACCTCAATCAGGTCCCCCCTCAACCTTCGATTTTCTAATGTAAATAATCCTAATCTACTTAACCTCTCTTCATAGCTAGTGCCTCCATACCAGGCAACATCCTGGTGAACCTCCTCTGCACCCTCTCCAAAGCATCCGCATCCTTTTGGTAATGTGGTGACCAGAACTGTACACAGTATTCCAAATGTGGTCAAACCAAAGTCCTATACAACTGTAACATGACCTGCCAACTCTTGTACTCAATACCCCATCCGATGAATGAAAGCATGCCGTATGCCTCTATCCACCTGCGTTGCCACCTTCAGGGAACAATGGGCCTGAACACCCAGATCTCTCTGTGCATCAATTTTCCCCAGGGCTTTTTCATTTACCGTATCGTTCGCTCTTGAATTGGATCTTCCAAAATGCATCACCTCGCATTGAACTCCGTCTGCCATTTCTCCGCCCAACTCTCCTATCTATATTCTGCTGCATTTTCCGACAGTCCCCTTCACTATCTGTTACTCCACCAATCTTCGTGTCATCTGCAAACTTGCTAATCAGGCCATCTATACCTTCCTCTAGATCATTTATGTATATCACAAACAACAGTGGTCCCAACAAGGATCCCTGTGGAACACCACTGGTCACAGTTCTCCATTTTGAGATACTCCCTTCCACTACAACTCTCTCTCTCCTGTTGCCCAGCCAGTTCTCTATCCATCTTGCTAGTACACCCTGGACCCCATGCGACTTCACTCTCTCCATCAGCCTAACATGGGGAACCTTATCAAACGCCTTACTGAAGTCCATGTATATGACATCTACAGCCCTTCCCTCAGCTATCAATTTTGTCACTTCCTCAAAGAATTCTATCAAGTTGGTAAGACATGACCTTCCCTGCACAAAACCATGCTGTCTATCACTAATAAGCCCATTTTCTTCCAAATGTAAATAGATCTTATCCCTCAGTATCTTCTCCAGCAGTTTCCCCATCACTGACGTCAGGCTCACCAGTCTATAATTTCCTGGATTATCTTTGCTACCTTTCTTAAACAAAGGAACAACATTAGTAATTCTCCAGTCCTCCGGGACCACACCTGTGCTCAAGGATGCTGCAAAGATATATGTTAAGGCCCCAGCTATTTCCTCTCTTGCTTCCCTCAGTAACCTGGAATAGATCCCATCCGGACCTAGGGACTTGTCCACCCTAATGCCTTTTAGAATACCCAACACGTCCCCCCTACTTATGTGACATTATCTTCTTTAGGCTAATCTCCAAGTCACACAACACCCCGACTTGTACATAGATTGCCATTCCTTTATTGTCACTGCATAATATTTTGGAATTTACTACCTACTCCCATTGGATATGCATTATAACAGAATTGTAGAGCTTCAAGACTGCTAGCACCACTTTGTCATGGCAATTAAAGATGGGCAATTAGTTGTCTATTGCTATTACAGACCTTAGTCTGACATTTAAAAAAACATATAATAAAAACTTGGGCATCACTCAGGTTAACTCTAATCGTGGTCCACAACTTCCTCAAGAACATGTAAAATACCATAAATCTGACTGTTCAGAAGGTGAATATGACAATGCTTTTCACACCCAAACAAACTTGTGCAGACTGGATAGCTGATCTAAATTATGAGCATTAAAAGTGATTTAGCTATATGCGCCACATAAAACTGTTGTCTCATTAAAGTATACAGGAAACCCTAGGTTTATACTACTGAAAACATCATTGAAAAAATAACCAACTGTTTGCCTATCCTTCTTAGGTAAACTGTTAGAGACAACAATATCTAGTGCTATGTATATACAAGTACCACTTACAGAATTGTGCACCTGTCCAATACATTAGCAGCAATGATGAACACAAACCAACAAATGGCTAAATATTCATTGTTAACTTCACAAGTTCTCCTTTGAAGTTTGAACATTTTCGTTGAGGATGCTGTCAATATTGATCTTGATCACATTGAACACAAAGCAAGCACTGTGGCTTTCTCTGCAATAATTCCAATCTTAAACTATATTTTCTCATCAAGAACAATGATTGGTTACCTTCCTTACTATTTTAAATGCAAGAATATTGCCCCCATCCCCAATACTGCTAAAATTAGTACAAAAAGTCACTTCCAAAATTAAATATTAATTGAAGAAGTTGATACGGCTTATGACAGACAAATGAAGGGCTGTACTTTCACAACTCAGCAACATCTACCAGAACAAAAATTCCACATTCTTGAAATTCTACGATCAGTATAAAGATAACCATCAATACTATGAGCGATGATAATAGGGTCTGTAGCACTGAATACCGCAATGCTTGCAGGGCATAGGCCTAGAATCTTAGTGCTTTTTAGTATAATTGCTTGATTAAAATGTAACTTTCATTTTGTGTCAAACCCCTCCAAATTTCATGTTTTGTCTAAAGTTAGTCAATATTCCTTGAATTTAGCTCTAAACTATTTTAACAGCCTCCAAATTCTTGGTAATATACAAAGATTCTGACATGCAGTATATTGACAACATTGTTATTGTCATCCTCTTGATAAGTGAATAGCAAGTAAGCCACCAGCACAAAAGAAGTAACAACAGTATATAATCTAGAAACACTTGACATAATAATATTGTGCTCCTATGAAAAGTCTCATTTACTGTGAAACATCTCAACTCGTATATGAAAAAAGCATGTTTTTGTGCACAACTGCGCCTGAGCCATTGACTGGCTAGTTCTAGAAATGGGGCTAATGTCCCTATGGGACTTATTCCAGTCACCCTTCCAAATGCTAACTTTTCTACAAAGTTGTTCCAAACTGACTCTCTCATGAAAATCTGATTCAGGAGATGAGGCAATTTTGCTAAATGAAGGCTTCTTTTTTTGGTGGTGAAAATTCTCTATTACTTCTTTCACTTAAGTATTGACGGGGACAAAATTTCTTTGAAAGCCTAATCATGGATAGGGTGAATAGCCAAGGTCTTTTTTCCAACAGTATAGGAGTCTAAAACTAGACAGCGTAGGGTTAACGTGAGAGGGGAAAGAATTAAAAAAGACCTGAGGGGCAACTTTTTCACACAGAGGGTAGTGCATATACGGAATGAGTTGCCAGAGGAAGTGGTAGAGGCAATTGCAATTGCAACTGCAACACTTAAATGTCATTTGGAAAGGTACATGGATGGGAAAGGTTTAGAGGGATATGGGCCAATCACAGGCAAAATGGGACTAGTTCAATTTAGGATCTATGACTCTATAAATTACCAAGAAGCTCTTTGCAGAAATTATTACTGCAAAACTCAGGATGGTACAACATCTGCTCGATCAAGCAAACAACTAACAGCAAAGATCGAACTTTCCTTAACTGGGTAATGGAAAATGTAGCTGTGGACAGCAGACAGTCAATTAGGGCAATGATCTAGATCAAAGTTCTGTATAAAGCAAGATGAAAGGAAATCATTCAATCAAGACGGTCACTAGGTTATGCAAAACTCTCAACAGTTATCTAATCATTACAGTTTTAACCAGTAAAATGACAAATTTCTGACTATACTTAGTTTGAGAACAGGAAGCTGCACAAATCTGTGCTAAACATTTTAGTAAAACATTTATCGGAGTATTGGTGAAAGAAGATACTTGTCAAAACTTTTTACCTTGTACTCATCAGGACAATTCACAAGAATACAGATTTAAAGGGAAAAGTCACTTACACTGTATAAGAAGACAGTGTCAACTGATTGGTGACCAACTTCGCGCGAAGGATACTTTTGGCATTTTTGTGATTAGACATGTAAATTTGTATTGTCATATGTAAACACAGACAGCTTCACCACATAATTTTCCATACTTCATCCCTACAAATGCTTAAAACTGGTAAAATAGTAAGTATTTTGCAACGACCATATTGTTGAACTAAAACTTACCACTTCATTTTATCATTTGGCCCAGATGAAAAAGTTGAACTCTTTAATACTTCGCCCATTTCTTCTCGACAAAAGCTAAAGTTATTGATGGTCCACATGTAAGAGAACTTTACCACTTTTACCTAAATATAACCAAAAAAAGAAACTGAATGAAATAACAAGAAATAAAAGAACGTAAGAACATATAAATGCAAAAATAGACAGACAGTTAAAACAGACCACTTGGCAAGTGAACAATATTTCTCACAAAAGCGAAATAAATGCACAATTTCACAGTTTCCACTGACTATCTAATTTTCACAATAAATAGTTCTCTCATCAATGCAGGGAGCACCCTATGATCTCAAGTAGAACCATATCTAGAATTTCTCAGCATTAACAAAAAACTTGCAGCACATCACAGGTCTACAAACTACTCAGCAAAAAATAGGAACAAATACTTGTAACATAACAATAGGTGGTTTGTTTGAAATAAAGTCTAAGTCACTGCTTCTAAAAGCCTATCATGAAATAGAGAGGTCAAAGCTTCTCAAATTATGCAATACATTCATCTGGAAGGATCCTTGAACTTTGAAAAATTTAAGAAAAACAAAATGAAAGACAAATGGGTTATAGCAAGAATAAAATGATTAGGAAAATTAGTTGGCCAGAAAGACAACTTGCTTGAGAAGAGTTGGAATTAGAATGCCTATTAAAAATGACTAGCTTGGATCACCAGTGGAGTCAGATACATGAGGGACATTTACACGACTCTTGGATAGGCACATGGATGATAGTAAAATGTAGGGTATATAGGGCAGTTTTATGTTATAGTAGGATAACAGATTGGCACAACATCATGGGCAAAAGGGCATGTACTGTGCTGTACTGTTCTATGTTCTTTGATCTTAAACTGCTGCCATCCACCTGCTGTGGGGTGACCGACAACACCATTAGGGAGAGAATTCCAGGATTTTGACCCAGCAACAGTGAAGGAACTGTGATATATTTCCCAGTCAGGATAGGGAGTGGCTTAAAGGGGAACTTGAAGGTGGTGGCATTCCCAAATATCTTCCTCCCTTGTCCTTCTAGATAGAAGTGGTCGTGGGTTTGGAAGGTGTTGTCTGAGGATCTTTGGTGAATTTCTGTAGTGCATCTTGTGAATAGTACACACTGCTGCTATTGAGTGTCAGTGGTGGAATGAGTGAACGCTTATGGGTGTAGTGCCAGTCCAATGGGCTGCTTTGTCCTGGATGGTGTCAAGCTTCCCGAGTGTTGATGGGGCTGAACTCAGCCAGGCAAGTGGGGGGTATTCCATCACACTCCTGACTTGAGGATTCAAGAGGTGAGTTACGCACTGCAGTATTCCTAGCCTCTGACCTGCTCTTGTAGCCACTGTGTTTTTGTGGGGAGTTCAGTTGAGTTTCTGGTCAATAATAACCTCCAGAATGTTGATTGTGGGGTAGTCAGTGATGGTAACATCACTGAATCTCAAGGGGTAGTGGTTAGATTGTCTCTCATTGCTAGTGGTCATAGCCTGGCATTTGTGTGGCACAAATGTTACTTGCCACTTGTCAGTCCAAACCTGGATATTGTCCAGATCCTGTTGCATTTGAATATGGACAGCTTCAGTGTCTGAAGAGTCATGAATGGTGCTGAACATTGCGCAATCATCAGGGAATATCCCCACGTCTGACCTTATGATGAAGGGAAGGTCATTAATGAAGCAGCTGAAGATGGTTGAAAGTAGGTCACTACCCTGAGGAACTGCTGCAGAGATGTCCTGCAGCTGAGATGACTGACCTCCAACAACCACGACAATCTTCCCATGTGTGAGGTATGACTCCAACCAGCAGAGAGTTTGGCCCCTGATACCCATTGATTCCAGTATTGATAGGTCTCCTTGATGCCACACTCCGTCGAATGCAGCCTTGATGTCAAGGGCTGTCACTCTCACCTCACTTCTGGAATTTAGCTCTTTTGTCCATGTTTGAACCAAGGCTGTAATGAGGTCGGGAGCGGAGTGGTCCTGGCGGAATCCAAACTGGGCGTCTCGAGTAGGTTACTGCTGACCAGGTGCTGCTTGATAGCACCGTTGATGACACCTTCTATCACTTTGCTGATGATCGAGAGTAGACTGACGGTATGGTTATTGGCTGGGTTGGATTTGTCCTGTTTTTTATGGACAGGACATAACTGGGTAACTTTCCACATTGCCAGGTAGATGCCTGTGTTATAACTGTACTGGAACAACGTGGCTAGGGCAGTAGTAAGTTCTGGAGCACAAGTCTTCAGTACTATTGCTGGAATGTTGTCAGGGCCCGTAGCCTTTGTAGTATCCAGTGTCTCCAACCATTTCTTAGAGTCCTAGAGATATATAGCACGGAAACAGACCCTTTGGTCCAGCTCATCCATACTGACCAGATATCCAATATAAATCTAGTCCCATTTGCCAACATATGGCCCATTTCCCTCTAAACCCTTCCTATTCATATACCCATTCAAATGCCTTTTAAATGTTGTAATCATACCAGCCTCCACCACTTCCTCTGGCAACTCATTCCACACACACACACACAACCCTCTGCGTGAAAAAGTTGCCCTTAGGTCCTTGCCTCTCTCACCTTAAACCTATGCTCTCTAGCTTTGGACTCCCCCACCCCAGGGAAAAGACCTTGTCTATTTACCCTATCCATGCTCCTCATGATTTTGTAAACCTCTAATAGGTCACCCTTCAGTGTCTGATGCTCCAGGCAAAATAGACCCAAACTATTCAACTTCTCCTCATAGTTCAAACACTCCAACCCTGAGTCGAACTGGTGAATTCAAATTCCACCATCTGCCGTGACAGGATTCAAACCTGGGTCCCCAGAACATTAGCTGAGTTTCTGGATTAACAGTCCACCAATAAGCCATTGCCTTCCCTAATATTAGCTCCAAAGATGTCAATCTGTATGGGTAGAGCTGAGAAATACCAAGGGGCAAAAAAAATGCTCTCTGCCAATAAGTTTTATTTAAAGCAAAGTCATATCATTAATTAAGTGCTTTACACCAAAGTAAAGAAAACAGTGATGTGTATACCCCCACTTTACACTTATATTTTTAAGTTTTTACATTGGTCAAGAGGTCCACATAATCAATCGGAATACTTGATCAACCGGGACATTCCTGGTCTCATAGGTTCCAGTTAATAAAAAGTTTGCTGTACATGAATGGCAATAAATTGAGAAGAGGGGCTTGTGCAATAATACCTGGATATCCTTGTCCCAGTCGCTGAAGTTTAAATATGCAGTGCAGCAGATGGTGAAGACAACAAATGGTATATTGGATAACAAGGCGTAGAGCTGGATGAACACAGCAGGCCAAGCAGTATCAGAGGAGCAGGAAAACTGACGTTTCGGATCTGGACAGTTCTTCAGAAGAAGGGTCCAGACCCGAAATGTCAGCTTTCCTGCTCCTCTGATGCTGCTTGGCCTGCTGTGTTCATCCAGCTCTACACCTTGTTATCTCAGATTCTCCAGCATCGGCAGTTCCTACTATCTCTAAATGGTATATTGGGCTGCGTAGTGAAAAGATTTGAGTACAGAACCAGGATGTCTTGCTGCAATTCTAGAGGGTCTTGGTGAGGCTACCTCTGGAAATAGTATGTGCAGTTTTGGTCTGCTTATCTGAAGAAGAATGTTCTTGCTAATACAGGGAATCAGTGAAGGCTTACTAGACTGATTTCTGTGATGGCAGGTCTGACATTATGAGGACAGGTTGAATTGATTAAGATTCCATTCATTGGAGTTCAGAATAAGTGGGGGGGGGGGGATCTCACAGAAACCTACAAAATTCTAACAGGGCTAGACAGGGTTGATGTTCCTGATGACAAGCAAGTCAGATCCAGGGGGATCACAGTCTAAAGATACAAGGTAAACCATTTAGAACTGAGATGAGGAGAAATTTCTTGATCTATAGAGTGGCAAGACTGTGGAATTTGCTGCCACAGAAAGCAGTCAGGGCCAAAGCACTGTATGATTTCAAGGAGGAGTTGGATATAGCACTTAGGGCTAAAGGAATGGGGGAAAACCAGTAACAGACGACTGATCAATCGTGCTCATAATCAATAGCAAAATCCTACACCTGCTTATATTTTCTATTTTTCTGTTCTTGCACAAAATATAGCAAACATAACAAGCCCACAAGTGTTGTGACAGGGCATAAATATTATAGACACAGTATTCCTTTAGAAAGCATAAACATTTACTTTTCACATTGTTTAACTACAAATAACTGAAGTAATAAGAGAGACCAACTGAAAATTTAGCAAAACTGCACTTCCTGGAAACGTGCAAAAAGGTCCTGGGAAAATGTTAACCAAAACACTAACAGGTTTTTATATAGCGTGCAGAAGACCAAAATCTTAACATTACAAGCTATGAAGAATGAAAGTTACTTACAAAACAGAAGTAGAGACCACATAATATTGATCTTAAGTAGTCAGGAATATGAAGTGTAGTTCTAAGTTTATTGTACCCTGTAATTGCTCGGTAATGTGGCATTTGTGTATTTGGGCTCTTGTGGCACAGAGCTCGCGTCCATGCCTTTGAGCCAAGAGGCCTGGGTTCAAGTTCCAACTGTTCCAGTGTGACTAAAAACTTGAACAAGTTGTTTAAAATATCTAGAACTGGAGAACTGCTGAAGAGAGGCATGGGTGTTGGAGCTTTTCATTTCACATTTGACTCCAAAACAAATGCTGGGATACCAATCATAAAGAGAACACCAAATTATATAGATGACAAGAGGGCGCTGATTGTTTCGCAAGTGGACTCTGACTGGTTGGGACACTGGCCTAAAGAATGCACCAGAGAACAGTTCCCCAAAATCTTTTGTTTAAATTCAATACATTCAAAACAAGATTCTCCATGGAAACTCCTCAATCCTATCCACTTACCATGAAGCAAAATTCCCATCTCCAATACCACACTTTTAGCCATACATTTCATTAACTTTCTAATCTGTTTATTCCTATAGCAAATGGTGTATAGGTCATGCAACATCTGGAATTTCTTTTTGAGATTCTTCTTTTTAATTTGACCACAAGTCCTCAAACTCTCAGCAGAAAATTATTTCTAGTTCTACCTATGCTGTTGGATCACAATGTTAACCACAATTCTGGATCGTCCAAAACAACTTAGTTTCCAGTCATGAAACCACATTTCTAACCCTGGCACAGCTGAAAACATAACCTTCAGACTTCCCACATTCAATTTCAGAGAAGCTCTTCCCTTGACCATACTAATGTGCCCTGTTACAGACATATTCATTTTTATTCCTCCCACTTACGCGGCTTTCTGCACATGAAGTGGTCTATTTTGTTGTTCACCCCACAACCCTTGCACTCATGCACAATGGCAGCAAGTATCTGCTGAAAAAGTCTAGGACTAAGGTTACTCCATTACTACCTCATCGATCCATATCTGCCTGATTCTCAGACACTCCACGTCACTGACCACCTCTATAATCCTATTTAGCCTAAAGAGGCCTGACTGCCCCCTGGAGGAAAGCATCCAGGTTATTCTTCGAAACCTGATGCCCTAAAAAGTCTGCAGCTCGGACTCCAGCTCAACAAACGTCAGGTAAAGACCTGTGAACTGCAGACATTGACTATACTTATTGCTTGTGTGCACAATATAACCACGCAAATAATGTTACATATTATTTTTACATCAAAGTGTCTTGTGGACACTTTTTAATCCACTTTCCACATATCCTAAACTGTTTCACAGCCAGTGAAGAACCTCTGAAGTTCAGCAATTGCTATATCTTTCATAGTATCTTTTCAGTAGCTGCTGAATGTGGAAGAAAATAAGTTTGCATTTATACAAGTCTTTCAGAGCCACAAGGTATACCAAAGCGTCTCACAAGCAAGAAAGTACTTCTGCAACATAGCCAATTTACACTCAGTAAACACAATGGATTTCTGTTGAGGCCCCTGTAGCCCTAAGGGGCATTATGTTTATAGTTCGGGGCCAACAATTAACCTATAATGAGGCAAGAAAAGCATCTCAAACATTCACTCGTGTCCTCAAGACAAACATCAGAATTCAAGCAATATGAAATACTGCATTTTTATTTAATTCCTTAATCTCTGCAAATTGGATTTTAGGTTTGTAATTTATAAATGTTCTGTCTAGCCAATGAAGTATGTGTGGATATAGTGTTCCCATGGAGACAGAGCAAAGATTGCAGTGATCTTCTCTTTTAAGAATTAGGACTTTGTTTTCTACCCATTTTTCATGTGAAGTGGGTGGGGTCTGGGTGTTGTAATCTACAGAAACAGTGTGAACAAGAAAACGTCAAAGTCCATATTATACAGTGGCATTAGTCACACAGACTGGAAATAGCCTGCGCTAGGTTCAGATAAGAATTCCAACTCAAGCTTTAGACTTCAGTTAAGATGGACTGATGTCGATGATGCTTTTTGTGGGCATTTTTAATGTCGACCAACTAGTTTTCTTATAAGTTGTACACAGTTAGCTACTTTTAAGCAATATAAAGTAATGTTCTATGTTCTATACACTAACCCGAGCAGAAAAAGAAAATGAAGGTCAACTGCGCAGAAAGAAATAGCTACGTAATTTAATTATTGACTTCTGTTACCTCCAAATTCAGAATTCAAAAACAATTTGTAGCTTGACTGGTCAGTTTTCTACCTCATTGTGAACTGAACTGCTTGCTCACAGCTCAGAATCAATTGAACTACTTTTGATTTGCTCATATTTAGTTTATGCTTAACACAAAAGAAAGCTCATTGAGCCAAATACTAATTTGCCCTACAGACTTGCAAGTTCCTGAAGTGTGACTTCTCTGATACACTTTCATGTATGGAAAATGATAGCTGTGCAATTTCTGAAATTTAATTGACTAAATAATCTTGTGTTTTCCAAAGTGGCATCGTCTAAATTCAAAGGCTACTACATTTACACCTGATTTAAAATTACATCAGACCACAAATAAAAAATAAAAGCCCCTGAGTCAATTATAAAAGAAAAATTCTCAAATTCAGTTTCCAACTTGCCTCTTAAAGCAAAATAAAGCTGTAACAATTTAAGTAGAGACTGATAACTTTTAAAACATAATTCAAACTTCCAGTGAATGACTGAAAGGATCACACAAGCAAATTTCAAATTTTAAAACATTTACTCCAACAAAAGAACTTAACACTTTCAGTCTGCAACAGGAAAGACTACAGGAAAAGTCCACATTTGGACTTTTACAATGACTGCAATCCTCCTCCCACTTCAATGTTTCACTTTGTCACGTTGACACTTCAGTCTCCAGGAATGAGTTGAAAGTTATTCTCAGCTCCTTTTCCTTTTCTCTTTCCTAAATGGATAATTTTTACTCCTTGATGCAACAATGTTAGCTGAATCTTTCAGCTTTGTTTGGGCCCTCACAAAGTTGATCTCTTCAATCTGAGCACACGATCACCTCTGTCTTTATCAGTTGACTCTAGATCTTTATTACTCTAGACTATTGTTAGGGAGGAAATTCTAGTAATTTGAACCCAGGGCACTGAAAGAACAATGATATAGTTTCAAGTCAGGATGATGCGAGACTTAGACATGAACGTGCAGGTGTTAGGGTCCTCAAGCATCTTTTATCTTTGTACTTCGAGGTGATGGAGGTCATGAGCTTGGAATTTGCTATATAAGGAGCCTTGCTGAGTTGGTGAAGTCACCCTGTAGATGGAAAATACTGTTGTCACTACACGATGCAATAGAGGGACTGCATCTTTAAAGGTGCTGGATGGAGTGCCAATTAAGCAGGCTGCTTTTCCCTGCGTAGTTTCTATTTAGTACTATTCACAAGCTACAGACTGTCAATCAGTTTTTAATTAAAACAAAGGAGAGCATGTAAATTCATTTTATAATTATAATTCACTGGTCATAACCTTCCCATCATAACAATGCATCAAAATAACCTTTCAGATAGAACTGCTGATATGGACCTCACTTAAAAGGAATTGATTTCTTCAGTTTGAGCCTAAGTCTTGTGTGAATTATCACAACCTGTAAGGAATAAATGGCCTAGATGTTACTTAAACTAACCATTATTCCCATTCACAGCACAATCACGTTGACTGCACAAACTCCTGACAAGCCTTTGACTGAGCTCTCGGGTTTGTTTATGCTGAACCATTACACTTTCTTCCTTTCTGTTTACAGGGGGTTCTGCTATAGTTGTGTTCCAGTGCAACATCGCATTATAGAAAATCACGCTATATAAATAATGGGGCCTATGGGAAAAGCAGGGTTGGGGGCACAAAGGACACATAATTTTCCAAAATTCTTCCTCAACTGTGTAGCTTCACTCCTTTAGCTGCAGTTAAAATGACAGTTTTTCAGATAGGTGATGCTGCAAAGAGGCAATACATTTACGAATTTGACCTTGTTTTTGCAATGAAGTGACAATTGGGCTTTAAATGGAGTTCTACCACTGGAAAGCCCAGCAATGGTCAGTACTGCATGATTGTGCAAGCATGATCCAAAAAAGAGGTAAGCAGTGCAAAACTGTGTGAGATAGAGCTCACAGCCAGCAACCCCCCATGAAACTCCCCCGAAATTGACACGTCAGCAATTTTTAGTAAAATTCCCTCCTCCTTTTAAATGCTGATATGATCTGACATTCCTTTGGCACAGATTTCTGGAAGGATTTTCAGATAAGTGAAGCAGAGGAATCTGATGTTTTCGTATAATGCTGATACATTTAATGTATTCAGCATAAACTCTTCAAACTAAGACTTCACATATTTTCCTATTAAGACGATTGTTCTCTGTGTGATATTATATTTGAGGTATATGACATACAATCCATATTTGATGGAATTGTGTTATAGCCAACACAAGTTAGCGTTTTACAAATAATATTCGCCTATTCATCAATCGCATTATAGCCAATTTGCATTGCCGGAACACATGTTGTAGGAGAACCCCCTGTATATCCATCTGGGCTACTCCATCCTATTGACTCAGAGTCACAGGGAAGGCCTGAGGCTTCCATCTTTATTTCACCCTGTTCAAAGGTTCTAGAATTACTCCTGTTATTGATATGCACCTCAGTCGTGGCACCTAGTTACAATATGCTCATCAGTGACTGTAAAAGCTTTGTACCAGACACCTAGCACTGAAATACAAAACATACTGCATTTCAAAAGCTCTCACGAGTTAATGAACTCAAACTATGATTAAAAAATAATCTCAAGCAAGGTTGGAATTCTTTATCAATGATACAAGGGTACAGAACAAACATTTTTGGGGTTAGTAACAAACCATATTACTGTAACAGATTGAAAAGGTGGTGAATGTGCAACTCTGTCCCAGCTTGGCTTGTTCCTGAGCAACAACCATAAAAACCATTTATCACTTAATCTTAGGGATCACTTGCTTGGCAATGCCATGATTTCCTAGTGATTCTGAATAACTTCCGTGATGAAAAGCAGAAGGCTTGAATTTCAGGCCAATGTATACTGGCTTACATGCTCATTTAGGAATCTTTGACTTATACACTGTAAGAAATTATGCGCCAGACTTTCATCAAATCAGAAATTGCTGGCAACATCCAGCAGGTCTGGCAGCATAAGTGGGAAGAAAATATAATTAACATTTTCAGTCCGGTGACACTTCATCAGAACTGCTAGACTTTCACGTTACACTGTGTCTCTTCTTGACAACCTGGCATATGAAATAAGAGAATTCCAATTTTTAAAGATAAACTGGATATTCAACTGTTAAAGTCCAACACATAGTGCAAGTTGTTTTATTCCTCCACAGAGAAACTAGATAACACAGTAAAAGCTTAGCAATTAGAAACTGAAACAGTGGAATATGTAATACCTGAGTGTAACACCAACTCTCTGCCACAGGCCCACTAGACATCTCTCCAGGTGGAGGAGGAGTTGGCACCCTTGACATAGCCAGCTTTTCTGCTGTTTTAAATCTAGATGCCTCAAGGAATTTCAGGGCTTCTCCTGTAATGAAACACAATTAAATCATCAACTTTTAAATAGACAGTTTGCGAGAGGAGAATACATCAATTTAAAACTCTGTGATTCAATTTATGAATTTTGAGGATCATTCTCGATTCATGGTTGCAACAATTGACTCTAGAACCGCAGCAATATTCATTCAGACTTTCATTTTGTTCTTATAAACACATAACTTATAAATTACTGTTCTCATTTCAATTCTCTCCATTTACAACAATGGTCACTCAAGGTGGTATTTGAGAGAAGCATATGGGAGCAGAAAAATCAAATATAGATTTTAGATCCACAAACTTGTTGAATTAAATGTGACTACTTTGGAATACAATTCTATTATGTTCAATGCCCGAACAAGGAACTAATACTCATTTATAAACAGACATCACTGAAGATTGTGATTTTGACTTCTGCTGTTAGGATCACAAGACAACAATCAGAAGAGTGAAATCCAGCTAAAGTGCCACTAGCAGGGAACCAAGATCAATTGCTGCAGCATTCTCACAACACGGCTGGACTTAGTTAACCTTGGACAGTACAGGGATTAATTCTAGAAATATATGATACGAGTGCTCACTGATGAATAACCGAGACATCAGGTACACATTGCTGAAGCTACATTTGTTTTTCATCTGTGACCATTTACGTAGAAGCCCATCTGCCCATCACAGCCTCACTATTCTTATTTGCAGATCAGTTGAAGCAAGGAATGACCAGAAATACTGCAAAAATGAACCTAAATGTGGTGCATGTACATCATTTAAATTTGCCTTTGTTCTATATCCTTCAATAGCATCACTTAACTAAAATCGCACAAACTTGAAGATCCCAAATTGAGCAGCCACAGACTTTGTTTTGTACCAGTGTGGTTTGGTTTCTAGTATACTTTGTGCGAAACAGTGCATCCTGATTTGACTTCTACATGGCTGGCTGTAACTTTAAATTTCATTGCCTTGATTCCTCCACTGGAGGAAATACTTCCCACATACCTGCTCTATCAATTCACTAAATTAGGCTGTCCCTTCAACACCCAAAGTCAAAGGACTACAAAGCCAAGTTTATAAAACTTGTCCAATAATCTGTTCCAGTGAATTTGTATGTTATTCTGTCCAGGGATCAGTGCCCAAATCTGAATGCGGTATTCCTGATTGAATCTGGCCAAGGCTCTATACCCCTGAAGCATCACATGTTTCCTTTTCCTTCTTGATTATTTATTGCACCCTGCACATGGATACCAAAAACATTTTGCTCCACAACAGCTTTCAATCTGACTTTTTATTTTGATCCACTCTGGGGAATATAAAGACTTAAAAAAATACATTTATCGGATGTGAACAATTTTTCCTCTAAATTACACAGCTACTGGGAAGTTGTGTGCGCACCAACTGGCATGCAATTCATAGCTTGTGCTTGCAGAAGCAGTTGCCATGCACCGATCTTCGAGATCCATACTTTGGCAGGAAAAATTACAATGAATATTGGATGCTGGTACTAGTGGCTAGGCCAGTGGTTATTACCCATCCCTAATTACCCTGGAGAAGTCAGTGGAGAACTGCCTTCTTGAATCTCTGCAGTCCTTGTTATGGAGGGACACCCTTAGTCTTGTTAGATAGGGAGTTCTACAATTTTGATCTAGTTACAGTTAAGAAATTGTAATAAAGTTCCAAGACAGGATGGCCAATGTCTTATAGGGGAACTTGTGTTTGGTGGCGTTCCCCTGCATTTGCTGCCCATCTCCTCCTAGATAGACAAGGTCATGGACTTGGAAGGTGTTATGGGAAGAGCCTTGATTAGGTGCATAGCCAGTGGATTTTGAATAACTCATGGACATACTAATAATAAATAATAAAGCAAGCAACAGTTAACATAGACAGGCAGGATTAACAATGCTGGATGCAATGGCAGGGCATATTGGTCACCTGGAGTGCCTATGGATGAATAAAGACATTTGGGAAAGATTGAAGGTTAAGAAAGAAGCATAAATGAAGTATAGAGGCAGCAGGGGGTTGAATGATCGGAGAGAATACAGAGAGGTTAGAAGAGAAATTGCAGAAAAACTGATGGTGTTTTGCTGAATATTGTATGTATACTGATCTCTCCTGAGATGACAGGGTTCCTTGTTGCTGTCCAGGCATCATGGTTTTGGTCTTCTCACAGTTGACGAGCAGACCAATCTTGGTGCCAATACTCTCAAGACTCAAGACTCAAGACTCAAAACGAGGGACAGAAGGCAAGATTGGTGGGAACGCTTTCAGGAGATCCAAAGCATACTATAAAACCCGCTGACTTAAAGAAAAATAAAACCACTTTATTTATATCACACCAGTACCATCATAAAATAATGCAAAATGCTTAACAGGGGTGTTAGCAAACAAAATTTCACACCGAGTCATATAAAAGGAGATTAGTGCAGATGACGAATTGTTTACTCAAAGAATCACTATGTGGCAAGTATCTTAAAGAAGGAAAGAGCCAGATTTATGGGGAGGGAATTCCAATGTTTAGACGTTAGTGGCTGAAGCCGGTGAGCGTGATTAAAAACAGGATTGCACGAGAGCTCAAAGCCATCAAATAATAAAAAAAGGTTTTTATGGTGTGTAAAATGTCAGACTTCCATAATAAAATGTATCTTGACATAGTCATTAAACCATTAGCCCTTAACAACAATCATAAAAATAAGTCATAGATAATGACTGGTTCATTATGCTTCTTAAAAATCTTTAACTATACATAAGTTGTCTTTATTTAGTAGTTGCCTTATTCTATAATCAAGCCCTCTAATTACTTTCTTCATGAAGAACTGCAACATCAAGTCCTTTTGTTACAGAATTGCAAAGGATTAACCATTCTGTGCCATTGGTGCTCAGACAAAATGATGGCTCACAACCTACAGGAAGCAGGTGGCTTTGATCCAGAAAGAAAATCTTCTTTGATCAAATAGCTTTAGATAATTGGTTAAATGAAGGCACTGCATAATGAGCATTACTGACTTACCAATAAAATAAACTACTTAGCTTAAGTTCCCACAGACAGACAAGTACAACTTTAAGACATAGAAGACAGGAGCAGAAGAAGGCCATTCAGTGCGTCGAGTGTGCTGCACCACTCAATATGATCATTGCTGATTATCCATTCAGTACTCTGATCCTACTTTCTCCCCATAGCCTTTGATTACTTTAGCCTCAGGAATACAAACTAACTCCTCCTTGAAAACATTCAAATACCTTTGATGGCTCAACAACCTCTAAGGCATTTCTCTGCATCTCAGTCCTAAATGGCTTACCCATGTGAACTATGCAAGATCCTGGGCACCATTTAGGAGAGAAAATGATTTAATACAATCAAGAACGATAAGACATGGATTTAGATATATGCCCTACTAGAGTGGCAGTTTAATGGATGCCACCAGTTGGGAAAAGAAGGTACAACTGGCCAAAGAAGACCCATTCTACTCTAGCTCTGACATTAACTGTGCCTTGCTACAGCTCACTGTTTCCAATCAGTTCACATAGCTCATTTCTCTGACATTTCTATTCTTAAAACCTGTAGCATTGGCCTCAGAATCTTTTCAGTAGTGAGTACTGTTGAGACATTCTTTTCTAGCTTTTGTTTGCATGCATATTTAATAAATTTAATCTGTGATTCTTGGCTCTGGACTCCCCAGTCAGTCATCAGGGACGTCGCCCCAGTTAGAATTTTATAGGTTTCTAATGAGATCCCCTTCTTGTTCTTTTAAACCCTAGGAAATATAGTCCTGACTGATCCAGTTTCTCTTCATACTTCAGTCCCAGTGGCCTCCTAGCCCAGGGAATGTGGGTTCAAGTCCCGTCTGGCATGAGGTGAGTTTGGTCTTCAGTCCTGTCATCACGGGAATCAACTTGGCAAATATGTGTTGCACTCTCTCCGTAGCCAGAACATCCTTCCACAGATTAGGAGATCAAAACATACGTTTGTTCTAGGTTTGGTCCCACGAACACCCTGTACAACTGCAGCAAGACATCCCTATTCCTGTACTCAAATCCTCTCACAATGAATAGGACAAGATATCATTTGCCTTCTTCATTGCCTGCTGTGCCTGCAAGCTTGCTTTCAACAATTGATATTCAAGGACACACAGGTCTTGAAGCACATCACCCTTTACCATTATTGCCATTCAGATAATGATTTATCTTCCAGCTTTTGCTCTGAAAGCAGATAGCCTCACATTTAAATATTGTACTTCATCTACCACGCATTTGTGCCCTTGCTCAACTTATCTAAATCACACTGACACATCTCTGCATGACTTTCATAGCTCACCTTCCCACTCATTTTAGTGTTGTTTGCAAATTTGGAAAGATTATATTTAGTTCTCTCATCCATGTCATTAAAATATACCGTGAATAGATGGCACTGTCTATGCATAGTCTAGGCACTGATCCATCTGCTACCCCATAAGTCACTGCCTGCTACTGGGAAAAAAGACCTATTTATTTCTACTGTTTATTTCCTGTCTGCCAGCCAGTTATGTACTGCCATGTCAGTACCTTATGCTCAGTCCCTTGGGTTTTAATTTTACAGGCTTGTTAGTCTCTTCCGTGGGACCTTACTGAAAGTCTTCTGAAAGTCCAAGTAAACCACATCCACTGGCTCCCCCTTATCAACCCTATTTGTTCCATGCTCGAAAACTAGCAGCAGATTTGTCAAACAAAATTTCCCTTTCATAAATCCATGCTGACTCTGTCCGATCCTGTAACTGTTTTCACATGCTCTGCTATTAAATCTTTTATAAGGGACTGCAGCACTTTTCCCATTACTGACGTCAGAGCGATGTTTATAATTCCTGGATTCTCTCTACCTTCCTTTTCAAATAGAAGGGTTACATTAGCTACTTTTAAATCTATAGGAAATGTTCCCAGAGTCTACAGAAACTTAAAAGATGACCATCAATACATCCACTATTTCTAGGGCCACTTCCTTAAGTACTTTGGTTGTAGAGTGGGGG